CGATGGCACGCGAGCGAAAAAAGAAAGGGAAAAGAAAGCCAAAGCCAAAGTTGACCACCACTACGGACGTTGTGGCCAAGGCCGTGACCTCCCGGAAGCTCATGCGGTTGTGGAACGAAGCCCTTCTAAGCGACGAGGTCAAAGACCTCAGACAACGCCTAGTCAAAGCCGAGAACGACCGGGAGGCACTGCGAAAACGAGCTGCGGAGCGCGAGGATCAACAGGAAGCGGTGTTTGACACACTCAAGGAGAGGGTCGTGATCGCCCAATCAGAGATCCAGGTAGCTCTGTGCACCTCAAATCAGGCGTTGTATCACAAGCTCGTATCTACTCAAGGCTCTCGGTCATAAGTTGATATACTGTCTATATGCACTGCTGTAAAGGCTTCTGTGTGCATGATACGTCCAATGTCACACACCAACATCACTCCACACCACTCTCCTTTATGCCGGGGTTGCTTGACAGACCCTAGTGAAACGGACAAGGGAAAATGATGAGCGACGGCGCCGAGAGCATGACGACACGCAAAGGAATTTGCAGGTGCAGCGTAGACTACTACACCGTTTTCGGTACATTGATCGTTGTTCTGTTATCACCGTATCTAGCCTATTGACGTCTACGAGGACAATGGTACTGTGAAGAATGAGTTGGGCTAGCGAAAGGAACTTGATTATCTCCCCCAACCCTGCAATTTCACGTCTTGAGCGCGATAGGGTTGGTCGCATGTGGGCATGGGCAGATAAGTTTCCAGCGGGAAAAGGTGTTTGGCTGGCCTTTGTTCGCCGTACAACTATTCTGGCTGCTTCTAGACATGCTATAATCATACAACATTTTTCACCGCAACCCCTCGATTGACGAGCGGTGGCACTCGTGATGTACGCCAGGCGACGGACCTGTTCGAAACCACAGGGCTGAACGCGAAAATAGACCACTTGAGGTTGGAGTCTGCAGAGCACGTCTTTTCACTGGCGAATGGGCGCGCGTTCCAGGTCTCAACAGCCGGGTTTCCTCTAATGACTTCGAGGATCAATTGCACGCAGCACCGACGTCTTGCGCCTGCATCACAACCCTAGGATCATGAGCCACGTTTCGTTGTGGTTCGTCGTTCCGCCAATCCTTCCGACGGTACAGGAACGAATTGACGAGATGTGTCTGCAGCGTCTAGCGACGGCTTCTCTGCAGGCCGATCTCCGGGACAAGGACAAGACTCTTGACCGGTTCACTTCGGAACTTCAACAGGTTCGTTAGTGCATCGATGGACGAGGATGATTTGGTGGTCAACACAGATCGTACAAAGGGATGCAGTATGTGCAACCGGCCAAGCTCGTACAGCAACCAGGAAACAGACCAAACGTGTGGACGACAGGTAGGATTCATGCGGACGTGTTCAAAGTGCGGGAATAACCGTTGTTTACAAGCGTTCCGACAACACGAGAACTCCGGAAACTACAGATGGATACACGAATAATCAACGTGCTTGCTGGTATGAATGGGCGGACCACCTATTTGTGGCATCGCCCTGCTCAGTCTCTCTCTGGACCATTTCTCCTTGCCCATCGGCTGACGAAGAAAATATGCCTGCCCTGAGAAGCGGGCTGCAGCTGCTAAATCCATTGGAACAGCAACGCCACCTACGGAAGTAGTCTATGTCGTCAAACGAACTACACAAAATACACAGTACTTGAGCTCCACCTTTGGGGAGGGGGGTACAGTTGAAAACTGCATCAATTTCTTTTGGGTAGCGCCGAGTTTCGATATTCGCCACGACAGGCGTAACCATGCGAACGCAAACCAACAATTCCATGACAAGCAGCAACACACATTCCGCGGCGTGTAACCAGATTCACGCTCAACACATCAAACGAGGATGGTTTGACGTGTTGTTGATATTTGCGCCAAACCGATCTGCCTCCATTCCACGAATGAACACGATGGGTAGGAGACTCGCGTCAGCCCCGATTTCTTTGGTATAGCTGCATTTGTCGGTGAAAAGCACGTGGAACCAAGACGGCCACTGCAAGTTCCAGTGAATCATGTCTTGAACAGCGGGGGATTGGGTTTCTCTAGGCATGAATAACCCCTCTCCCTCCGTCGCTTTTATACACGTGTCATGTTTAAGGCTGCGATCAAGAACGAAGAACTGAAGCGGGAACAAAAGAGGCTGAAGCACATCGAACAGATGCTGGATACGTTTCGCCGAAATTTCGTCGTCCTTGGAAGAACTGAGGCCGGCGAAGAGGTGCCACCATGCATGCAACATGACTGCCTTTTCCCGACTACGTACGATACTTTCTCCGCAAGTTCGTGCGCCAGTCCCAATACGACTGTTCAAGAACCACGGCGACCTATCCAAGTCCCACATGCGTGATCCCAGCAATGGCTATGATTCCAAGACTAGAAGTTTCCTAGGAGGGATAACGAGGAGGGCCGCAGTCCTGGAAGTATATGTTCCAGGAAAATGGTACAGAGAGCAACAAGTTACAGAGAGCAAACTTACTAAGCCACCATCAACGCTACTAGGATACGGCCGGAGAATCGACATGAATGGACCACCACCGTGGTCTAACGTTCCCTTGAAACCGCTTGGTCGTCACGGTTGTGGATTGAAGTACAGTGTTGAACTTTGTATATAATGCGCTTGTTCGTGATAAGTCGACTTAAGAGTTGGCACAAGGGCAAGGTTGTCATAGGCATGCCTAACAACTATGTGCTGTGTTGCAACAGGTGGGAAAGGCCAAACCGAACGGCGGGAGCACATGGGGTGATTTAATAAATGAAACAGACCATATCACATGGCGTTCTCGGAGAAGCCCCGTTCTTGTATGGCTTGGGACCGCATGTGAAGTGATCAGTTCCAACATCGGTAGGGTTTTGACTCCTACCTAGCAGCATATTCGAAGTCAGCGGTTCGAAGTCAGCGGCAGAGCAAAGCGGTGGGAGAAACAAACCTGTATAGAACGAACACCGGACTCCATCACTACTTGTCGCAACAGATTCGGCATGCGGTCGCCAATGCCCATGGGATACAAGCGGGGGGAGGCGGCGAGACTGGTAGCATTGACGTCATGGGTGAACCCAGACGGCCGCCTCCTACCGGAGACGTCCCAGGGTTGGGACTCGTTCCTTTACTTATTGAGGTATGGCAATTTCCGACGTATTTCCGGCATGCTGGATGGTACGCTCCCTCTTCCGTGTTGGAGCTTGGTCGCCCGACAACCTGATGCTGGCATCTGACCGTGCTCTGAACTAATCCGCGATGATGTTGTGTGTGTCTCTCTTCTTCTGCCTGTCCCTGACCGCACGTGGCTACAAGGGAATGGCGCAGTTTCCAGGAGACGTAAAGCTGACCCGCGATGCCCTCGCGTTACTGGGCTATATTGCGAGCTTGGAGCAGTTAGGGCGGACTTTTCTTACGACTCACAGACTGTACCGACAAGTTGTGGCGGCGTTGCAGAGGCATGTCATCGACGGGGTGGTGGCGGTGAGTGCGGGGGTGGTCGTGAGTCGTGAAGATCGGGCTTCAATCGTTTCTGCATGTCCAACAATGGCAAGGGGGAAACGCTGCACAAAAGCCGTACGACGGGCGCAGATAACTTTCTGAAACCGCCCTTTCTGGGGGTAAGGGCGGCCGCTGCTGTCACGAGGTCGAGAGAGGGGACACGCTCGGAGCATTGTAGCGAACCTCTCGGGCTGGCGAGCCTTGTGACAACCGTCGTTGCGTATTTACAGATGAGGTTGGAAGGCGGTACCTTTCTTCCATGCCGTCGAGGACAAAGTTCGACGATGCCAACCATGTCGAAATACGTTCTAGAAGGAATCGGTGGAGTAGTTCTCTTCGATTCCGTTCACTGACAAGCGGTTCCGTGCACTTCGTTGGCGTGCGAACGGATGTGGCGATTGAGTGCAGCTCTACGCCGCGCGTCTCCTCCACAAGAGCGCTTTGCAAGGGGAAGCAACGGCCCTCGATATCAGGAAAGCTGGGGTTATACCGCTATTGGCCGAGGCTTTGGCAACCGCCTCGTTTGGGCCAAAGGGTGCCAAGAAGCCGAGAAGATTGCTGGTGAGGGAATGGGGTCATTCCATATTCCAGAAAGCCAATATCCTCGTAAAATTATGTGTTAATGTGGCGGCTTCATACAAAGGTTGGGGTTGGATGAGGTCCAAAAGACCCCTCGACGCTGGTAGCACTCGTTCAAATACGTTTGCACGATGAGTATATTGGTGTACATTGTTTTGCCATCAGTAAGGAAGGGGGGACCAACCTTACGGATGCTGTCTATCCGAGTGTGTGCAGCGAACTACACTGAAAACGTTTCACCTTGATTCGCCTTGATTTTTGACCAACAACGAACCAAACACAAACTTAGTTTTCTCGCTCATGGAAGATGGAATCCCACATGACTTCAGCTTCGCCAAAACTCTGCCCCCCCCCCCCCCCCCCCCCCCCCCCCCCCCCCCCCCCCCCCCCGATTGTCTCTTACTGGTGTGGTACATCGCACCAAACCCACCAACAGTATCATGCCTTGGCAACCATCCGGCTCTGCTACCCAAGTGGTTTCTTCTGCGAATCGGTCGTCGCTCTCCGTCTCCAGCACGGACTCCAGCCCAATCCCAGCCACAGCGGGAACAAGGCTCTATCGTCTCCGACAAGGACTGCTGCTGCTGCTGCTGCTGCTGCTGCTGCTTTCACTACCGCACCGTGTGATGATGTTCAAACCGTACGAGACCGAACAATATCAACAAGAAGCGGTGGAAGAGGCGGTGGCGGTAGTGATGGCCGTGGTTCAGTAAGGGCGGAGGGGGGAGGGGAAGCCACGCGTTCGAAGAACGCGTCGAGCACGCTGCTCGTCAGGAGCCCCCCGCCCCTACACCGGAACAGTCTAGGCGTTGACGCGTGCACCCGGGCGCCACAGCTTCGGCCCTTGCCCGCTGCAGTAAGAGAGAACGCATGTCGACGGCCAGAGAAGTTGTTCTTCGCAAAGAGATCTCACGCGGGACCGATGTTGGTCTCGAAGCAAGCTTGTGAAAGCAAGTCGGTCGGGTACGAGAAAGACCTAGCGGACGGGAACGGCTACTGGGACCTTTTGGGTGAAAACTGCTGCCGCGGCCACGGCCTCGATGATGGCGTTCTAGCAGGGGAGTTGGCTGAGAGTGCGGTCGCCTCGGTCGTGCTGCTGAGGTGGGCCATGGAGTGTATTGTGGCGAACGACGGGGAGGGCGGCGCCGAGGACGGTGATGGCGTCGTGCCAGGCACAACCGCTCCACGAAATGGGTTAACTACGGCGGACGACGACGAACCGGCAAAGGCGCCGGTGGCAGAGGATGGGACCCCCAGCATGCAGGGCAAGGCGGTGAGTGCGACGGCCACAGGCCAGGTTCGCTTAGCGCACTCGGCACGAAAGCCCAGGGGCAGCGACCGGTTTTCGTTTTCGGGTTCGCTCGAAAGAAAGTGTGCCAATCACCACGGCGAGGGCGACTGCCGTGGCCCGAGAAAGGCCATCGGAAACAAGTCGTTTGCTGCATCGTGTCCCTCACTATCAGAGTCTTCATGCAACCGGGAGAGACTCAGAGACAAGAAACCTTTTCCCCGTGAGCTGCCCTTGTCTGGAGGGCGAAGAGGAGGAGACGGAGGAGGAGGGGGAGGAGGAGGAGGAGGATGGAAGGGAGAAGAGCAGCAACCGCCGGAGGGCGACCGCGGTCGCCCGGCCGGCGGGATCGTCGTGACTTCGCCATCTCCTGGAGATGAGGCGAAGAAGGACGAAAGGCACCGAGAGGGCTGGCGCGACGGAAGAACCCCTAGGGTTGCCGGCAAAAGCACCGCGTCAGGAGATGAACCGGTGGAGGACATGAGAACGTTCCCGAAAAGGTACGCAGCGGCACCAAAGATGTACTGTTTTTGGCTAGTCGGGGCGCCTTCGTTACTTAGCGCGCCATGGAATGATCTACACAACCCAGGATCCCCACAGAGGAGGAGCACATCGAGGAACGTTATCTTCGAAGAAAGGCGCATGGGTCTATTCAAGAGCGTTTCATCCGGGCTCAACCCGTCTTGCCTGCCTGCCAGCCTGCTCAGTAGTGCAGATCGCACGTATGCAATGCATGAAGAAAAGCACACGTTTTGAGCATCTCTCTCAGGATACGAATATCAAACGCTCTACCTGTAACCCTGTGCGTTCCGGAACAACACATGAACATCCTCCTTTGTTCAGGTGGCTAGCACCGGCGGCTCACGAGGTCGCCTTGCATGCCCTGGTGTGCTTGCTGAGGGCCGCGGAGGTCGACCTCTGTGGTCACAGCAGCACGAACAGGCTTCAAACCGAGTTGGATATGGACACTGTGGGTGGCGGAAGGGCAGTAGTGATGGAGGAAGGCGTGCTTCTGCTAGTTCTCAAGGCATGCGCGAGGTTCCAAGATCATGGCGACGTGGTCAAGATTTGCTGTATGCTGATGCGCGTCGGTGTGATGTGTGCATTGCATGGCGCAGGGTTTGAGGTGAGAATGGCGCGGTATTCGTCTGGTCTGGGGATCTCCAAGGAATACCAAAAAAAAAAGACAAACGTACTTTGCCCCCCCCTGGTATATCACCGCACGGCCAAAGCGATGTTGTGACTAGAACACAGCGATGGACTGCCAACCCTCAAATGATCAAGTCAAGCCAAGCACGCCCTCTTCCCCATCCCCTTGGGTGACCGGGTTTCACGTGTTCAAACGAACTGGTTCGTCAGGCAGGAGGAGAAAATAGGAGTCCATGGTAGCCCCGTGCCAGGCCCCCTTTGCTGCTTATTTCCACGTCTCAATGGTGTGGGAACTCCAGCGCGGATAATCCTATACTTCGCGTGTCAGTGGAAGCCCACAGAGCAATGAAATAAATCCCCGGCAATCCGTGGCCGCAGTCCCTTACCCCTCCCATGGGCACAAAGGTGTACAGTGGGGGGGCACGCCGGTATTTCCCGGCGCATCCACCGGCACTATCCAGAGGAGCCCGGGCTATTCAACGCACAGAATAGCCCAGAAATTTTACCGGCGTAAAAAGGGTAACCGGCGTTATTCAACCGGCGTTGTTGAGGGCCCACTACTGTACCATCACTCACGTCGTCGAAGCACCCAGACGGTACGAACACCGGGGACCATCACCAAGCCGTCGTCCCATCCACCCGAACGAATCCTACCCTCACAGCGGCCGGTCGGCGGCCCCATTGCGCCAGGCATGGCTCTCCTAGTCGACAATGGCGTGGAGGGCGTAGTGACGAGGGCAGCAAAGGCGCACGTCGAAAACCTTTCGGTCACCATGGAAGCTTCGGCGCTGCTCCATAGCCTCGGAATGAACTCCATCAGGATCGATGCGTCGGGGGCAACTTGCTCGGCGCTGCCGCCGGCGCCGCCTACTCCGCAGCCTGCGGGGAAGAGTGACTTGGAGCCGGCGGCTGTGGTCGTGACCGTTGATGCAGTGACAAAGGCGAGTGTTGGGGCGTGTCCTCGTTACGAGGGAAGATAGATCTCGCCCCGTTGTCAGTATTGGAATCTCCTTCGACCCTACTGTTTTTCCCTTGTAGACAGGATCAGTCGACACTTCGATTGAATGGCCTGATGAAAAAAAACATAACACGAAAGTGTTGAGGAGGACCCGATTCGCAGGGTATCCGTCGATTGACTTTTACCTGAAACGGTACACGCATGGCGACAGCTGGAATACTGGTTCGAATCTCGTTGGGTGCACACTTTTTCTCCTGACTTCTCCATTTTCCCATGGACACAATGTGTGTCAGTCCTGAGAACACCTCTTGGAGTCGATCCTACAAAGAACCTTGTGACACTTCCATCGAATTACCCATCCTGGCCCCAAGAGGTTCCCAGTTGGGGGAAAATTTTGTGGGCGGAGAGTGTTAAGGAGGACCCCATTCGCAGGGTATGCGTCGATTGACTTGTACCTGAATCAGTACACCTTCGCAATAGTAAGGTCAAAGGTGAGACCGTTCATACGAGTATCTTACGGTAACTGTAGAAATGGAAGAAGGGCGACGGCCAGATACCTCCCTGAATAACTCATGAAAAGCATTCGCAGGCCTGAACCAAGCGGTATATGCATACATGCATAAGATGATGCACGATGGTCTCCCACCTTGCCACGTTTGATTGTCCCTTGCGCACAGACGACTGCGTTGGATCTGGGTGTGGTACCCAACCCGACTGCAGGTCGAGCCTCAAGCATAATCGGACGTGCCGAAGGATAACATCGTTTGTGAAAATGTTGGTGTGACAAACAGCACGCTACGGACAACACGTCCCGGGTTGGTTGTGAACGATTGATTAATTAAGTAGAAACGACTGCAGTAAACTTCGGAGGAGGGAAGGGTGAGGCGAATAAAACGATGCCGAACTACAGAGCCTTTCTCCACGGAAAGCTGAAAATCTATCCTAACGGAGCGATGATCTGTCCTTTCAGAGGGGTAAGTATTCGTGCATACATGCAAACGCGTCTCTCTTCTCCTTGGTTTGATGGTAGTCTGCGGACTGTAGTCAAACCTCCTTCATGACTGGGATGATGGCCCCTGCGCGATGAAGCGCGCAAGACCGCCTACAACAGTGTAACTATCGTGGACTCACCAACATCAGCCTAACGCGAATAAATCCACATCATTCCCCGATTCCCGATTGCCGTCCTGCCTAATGGGCGGGCGGCGATTTCACCACCAGGCGGCCGTCCCGCCTAATGGGCGGGCGGCCGCATAGATAGCAAATGAGCACTATCCGTTGTTGTGACACACAACCAGCCTTCAAACGCTATCAAAATGTAATGCAAATGCACCATCCACAAAAAAAAAATAGTTCAATTCGGGAAGCAGCTGTGGGGGAGACAGAGACAGAGACAGAGAGACAGAGATAGAGAGAGAGAGAGAGAGAGAGAGAGAGAGAGAGAGAGAGAGAGAGAGAGGAGAGAGA